AACCGAGGAGGATGTTGAGGAAGAGGTATTCAAGCTTTTAGGGCTCCACCTGATAAATGGTAAAGTTTTCCAAAGCCAACTTTATTACAAGTGGGTCGCATTCGTCGCTTTAAGATACGCTAATGATAATGCAGCGTTTGCTGCGATGTTTCCCGTCTTGGCAAAGTATTTAAAGGGCGATGAACTCGTCAAGATTCTGGTTGGAGGACTAACGCTGGATAAAACGAGAGATAACGCTACTAAAGTGCTTAACGGACAAGCAGAGAAACTGATCAAATCTTGGGTAGACGATGGCAAAGATGAGGCATACGTTTTTGAGCTTTTGGGGCTCGACTCCGAGTGGAACTCTAACAATATCCTCCCAAAAAATTTGTAGATATCATTCGTCGAAACAAAGCAAGACAAGCCCAGTAGAGAATGAAAAGTTGGTGCTCATGCTGAACCATTTCTACAACAAGGCCGATGGATCGCCAAAACTTCACGTTGCGGGAATGCAGATTAACAGTGCGAAAATTGATGAATCGTGCATGATACAGCTCTCGACTAAAGCTGACTTTTCAAAAGCTCCACAGTGCTGAAGCATTTTGTGACAAACAATAGAAGTATTTTCTTGATCAAATGGTGGCTGTTTCGTTTGTATTTGCAAAATCCATGCCAATAGATTGCACTTCGTCTAGCGCACATGAGAGCTCGACTACCCCATTAAGGTGAATGCGTGGAAAACATAATGGAACAATTCAATTCAATCGGCAAGTCTTAATCTATATACGCTTACTCTTTTGCTTTGAACGCAGTGGTTCGCTCACGGGTCGTTCACTTTGTCTCTGCGGGCGAAGCAGGACTTGTAACACTTCCTGCTTGAACCCTCTATATGCATAGGACCCGCTGGTGCTGTATACTTCTTGAAAAAATAATTCGAAATGGCGAGCGTATGAACGGATCATATGTCACATGGAAATGCTATATAGCATCACGATGCCAAGCTCTACATGCAACAAAGCAATTGACGGACTGAAGCAAGTAGCTACTGCATTGATCAAGAGTATCCACCGCGTTTTTGTGAAGATTGGATGTAAGAGGCGACTAGTGTGTACGTAAAGGGGAACACGTACAATTTGGTATTTATCTGCCTATACGCCGATGACATGATCAATGCAGCCAAGACTAGTAAGATTCAGGAAGTCAAGTCGGTGCTTGAAAGATCACAAGAAGCTCGGGGAGGCTAAGTTCCTTCTGGGGATGGAATTGACCACGACTGGGCGAAAAGACTGTGATGATCCGAGCCAACTCCGTTATATCGACGATGTTGTGGAGCATTTCAACGAGCAGAACACCAAGGCAGTTAGCAATACCTGTCAGTCGGGGGTAAATTTGTCATGGTGCAGTCCTCAACCGAACAGAGGTAATTGCGGTCCAAGCCGTACGGCACCAATTAGATATCTGCTGTGAATCAAAACTTGTACTCGCCCAGATGAGCCTTACGTAATGACTCAGCCATCACATTATCGGGAATATCCGGGCCGACAGCACTGGAAGACCGCGATCCGTATGCTTCGTACTCTCTCCGCACGATGCGAGAGCATGGTCGGCTCGGTAGATTGAAGTTTATGGCGTACCGGACGCCGACTATGACAGCAACACCGACAACCGGTTCATGGTTATGACTGAATACGTGCCCGTGGTCTTCCAGTCCAAGTATTAGCGCTGTAACGGGCTCTAC